CAATATATAAAAGCAAATCAATTAAAAGGTAGCTGTTCTAAGTTCTAAGCACAAATTTGTGAAAATTGATAAAAGTAATAAAAAAATGTTACCGAAATCTATTCAATTTTATAACAGCACAAAATTTGGAGTTGATATGGCAGATCAAATAGCCCGAAAATATACAGGAAAAACTAGTTCCGGTAGATGGCCCCTCCAAATATTTTTCAATATTTGAGATTTGGCTGCTACAAATGTTTGAATCTTTTACAAAGAAGCAACAGGAATACAAATCAACGAAAAGAGTTCTTGTTTCAATTAGCAGAATAGCTTTCCATCGAATACAGAGCTGCAAGACAGAAAAATTCATCAGAATATAAAGACCCAAAAAGAGCAGTTGAAACATCATCAAATGCAACCCATTCTAACAAACGCAAAATTTGTCAAGTACGACTTTGCCACAACAACAAAACAAATAATGTATGTGAAAAATGTCAAAAGTATGTTTGAGTAAGATGCACACACATAAAAAGATCCCACTTTCATTTGCATAAAATGTACAAATAATAATGCATAAATTATTTTTTCAAAGTAAAGTAATTTTTTTATTGTAATATTTACTAGTAACTTGTTATATGACTGCAAATCATATAAAAATATTAAAAATAAATTTTAAACAAATTTTTTTACACATTAGTTATTCTTTCACAATGCAGTCATCTTGACTGCTTTTGGGCAATAGAGGTATAGACTAGGCTTCAGTCTTTCTAGTGTTAATTTTGCAGAGAACCCCCAAGCCATATAGGCACTCAAAGGTCTTTTACATGGCGCATAATAATGCGACATGCCCGCTGTCGATTTTCTGCATCATGAAAGTCCCCGGGCCGGGGTTGAACCCGCAACCTTAGGTGTGCAAGGTCAGCAACAAAGTAACACGACCCCCAGTCGACCAATACCGTTAATGGATGCTAAAATACATGATTAGTTAGTGCATTAAAAAGATTGGTAAATATTCTATTAAAATATACAGCAATACTTGTCTAATTCCTTTTACATTTTTATGAATGAAATATTTTAAAATTTTGAGTATTATATCAGATACACTTGTTGTATATTCATAACTACTGAGAACGAATCGAAAAACAAACACTGTTTATATGTTTCAAAACAATAAAAAAAAGAACGATGTAATCATGTTTTATGAATTATCCTTAAGAAATTTACTCAAGTGTACAAAACATCGTGTTCAAAAGTAGAGGATCTACAGCGAACACATGCTAAATCCTCCAGAACACAGTCCGGTTAAGAAGGAATTATTTCCTCCTGCTCCTTACCTTTTTCTAGTTCATCCCGAATTTAGAATAACAGATGTTATCTACATGATTGAGAAAACGTTATGGATTTGCATGTTTTCTAGCGTGCCCCTATCCGACATTACACGAGGCAGTTAGCTCGGGAGAATGTTAAGAAAGGCTTGACAGCGGAAACAACGAAAAAAAAATTTTTTTTTCTTCGCCAACTGTTGTTTCGTCACAAACCCGTGCACTTTAAGGGGTGCAATTAAAATGAGCGACCTTGGATCGCTCGCGGCTAGAATCGCGCGTCTCTGATGTAGTCCTTTATTTATTTATTATTTAACCCGCAAATTTTACAAATTATAACTGGTCATGGCAACTTGAAAAGCTACTTGAACAAAATTAATTTAGTTCCTGTGATTGTGATATTGGTGGCAAGGAAAACGTTCCCCTTCTATGTTCGAAGTTTTAAAGAGAACGCAAGACTGGCATTCAAGGGACGTAGTATAAATTGGCATTCAGCAACTTCTTTGCACAAGAAGTGCTTTTAAAAAGTTCTGTGAATAGTTTGTAAATGTTTGTATAATTCTTCATAACCTCAAATGACTTTTTTTCCTTTACTCCTTTGTAATGTGCGATTAATACTTACTTCTGTGTGTGTGTGTGTGTGTGAGCCCCGTGTAATACTTGGTTGGTGCACGGGGATTTTATAATTGTTTTCAATAAAAAAAATTACAAATAAACATGAGATGTAATTAACACTTTATGCGTGTAAGGCAGTGATCTTTAAATTGTTTTTTATTGTGTACCCCTTAAATGGAAATAATTATAAGTACCACCATTTATTATTCTTGTAAGAGAGAGAGAGAAAAGTATTGGGCTCTATATCCTTACTTCCCACTCTAATAGTCTCTTACAAAATCTCAAATTGTAGGAGAAAATCTACTTTTCTCATCACGGGATCTCTGGAACTATTAGACCAACAGACTTGGAATTTGGCAGGTATGTTTCTGTAGTTGAGTAGAGATTTACTAGAAACGAATTTCACAGAAATCTATTCCCAAGGAAGGCACTGTATGGGGCGTTTTTGACCAAAAGAGTTGAAATCTGATAATCATGTTTCTCTTGTATGGAGAACGATAAGATTTTTCACAACTCAATTCCCAAGGTTACGGGGACGTAAAATATAAATATACTAGAAGAAGATTATAAGAATGTTTTTGTATACAATCCAAAGCTAGATTCTAGAATTTAGGTATCAATAACATAAAAACAATATATAATTATATTACATAAAAAACGCAGTGAAGCGGGTGGGTGCGACTAGTATTTTATAAAATACAGTTATAGAACCTACAATTAAAATGTAAATTATGCGCAATAAGATAATACTAATACTAAAACCTTTTTTTTTAAAAAAAAAAAACCTATTATTACAAAAATAGTTTTGATCAAAGTTCCTTTTGAGCAGTCACTGAAAGTCATATGTTATTTTAGTCAACATAAATAAATTTTAATACTCATAACTAGAACAACCAATTTTCTATTTTTATTGATTTATTAAGGGTGTTTTTTCAATCGTCCCTCCGAACGTGTGTTTTTATACTTAAAATGAAGTGATCCAGAAAATCTTAAGCTTATTTATCAAACATAACAAGAAAATCATAAAACAGAAAACTTGCGAGTCTTTTTTTTCTTTTTCTTTTTTTTTTTTGTCTAATTTGCTTTGATATTTAAGGTACAGCTTTACGCAGAACAATTTAGCATATAGAATCAATTTAGCTTTTCGAAATAGGGTGTGAAGGAAGGTGAGAACATTTCATTAAAGAGTTCTTCCAGGTCAAAGTACTACATTTGATTTCTTTGTATGCCCTGAATTACTTAAATGACATTTAAAAACTTTTGACATTTTTTTTATCTCTACATAAAATTTTGAGAAACTTTTTGATCTAAAATATTATTTTTGTTGGCAAATCTGACATCTTCCTTTATTTAACCTATCCCACACGTTCGTGCTGAAACACCTGCAAGTTCCAAGGGTAAAATTTTTTTAATTATTTTTTTCTCGAGTCATTGGGGTCAGTATAGTATTAATCACCTGAAGAATGTAATATATTTAAAGATAAAAATATTTCGGGCCTTAAAGGGATAACATTATCTAATCCGTGTAAAACCGCTCAATCGTATGGGATGGAGCGTTAAGGCTAAAACGAAAAAATATATTTTCCACTTAAAATCGGGTGTTGAGGAATATTATATTAGATACCTCTACCATTTCTTTTTTACATATGGTAAAAGTGATCATTTGTCAAAGAATAATACTCATCAATGTTCCGTGGTAACAAATGTTACCAATTCATTCATTCTTTTCTTTCCCTAGCTAAATGATTATCCGTCCTCTAATAAACGATCGTAAGAAGCTTTACTGGCAATTTATAGATATATATCAAGTTACTCATGAACTTAACGTATTGGATGAATTACTAATGTCTTCATTCGTTCCTACATGGATTCTTTAATACAAATTTATAATTATTGTTTCCAAGAAAAACGCTTGAAGTGTAAGAGAGAAAAACGCTTTCTCGCAATTTTTTCATTTAAATATTCAAATCCATTCCTAATGGACATTTAAAAAGAGCACTTTATTGATGGTTAAAACCTGGAGGGGGGGGGGAGCATTCAAAGCACACATATCCATTTGGTGTGGCCTTGAATTTCTAAAAGGAAATTGTTGAAATAGATGGATTTTACATCCTAAACCGTCAATTAAAATAATGTTCCGGTAAAAAGACTTTTTGTAAAAACACGTATTGAAAAACCAGTTGATGGACTGCGGAAAAGAAGTCTTTTCCTCTTTCTATTTCGCAAGTTTTTTATCGTATTTTGTTGGACACCAGGGGCTTCATTTGTGGAGTAGCAAAACCCATCAATTTCCTTTTGTTTCCTAGTTCTTTTGACATGAAGAACGGCCTCGACAGACCGTGGCTTAACCGAAGCCGGAAAAACCTATTCACCCAGATATACCACTCACAGCACTTAGAGCCCGACCCACGATTTCATGCTCCATTGAATGCTAGCTGTTTTTTTCTCCTTTCTTTTTCTTTTCTTTTCTTTTCTTTTTGTGGCCTTATGTCGGATGACTTACTTAAATGTCGCGTAATATCCTACCGAATGATAGGGCGTGATTTATTTTTCCGTCTTGATGGTTTAGTGGAGGTGACGGATACTTTCTCGTCTTCTTATTTCGCAATTATATTAGAACAATAAATACAGCTACATTTAAAAGTTTTTCTGTTAAAAAAAGCACAGATTTGCAGTTAGTTTGTTTAATTCTTGTTTTTAAGAGTTAGTAAGTGATAGAGAATTATATATATATATATTTTCCCCAATGGAAAAAATCGGCTGCGTATTGGCAACTAAAATTTTGCAGACACGCCAAATTCCCAAATTTGAGACCCAATTCATGGTGGTGAAGGGCGGCTCTCGCAACCCAATTCGGGCGCATTTTTAATTCAAGCTCTCAATGGATGCTGAGAATCCCCGTGATTTAATTTTGCCGAGAGTACTAGAGGCAAATTGATATTTTACATGTCAGAAATCATATGACAGGCATGCCTACAATTTTCGCATCCAAAAAATCCACCGACTCCATCCAAGATCGAACCCGCAACTTAGGCTTACGAAGTGGGCACGCTATCTCTAAGTCACGGAGATGACTAAAAAGGCCGACGGCATGCGTTGTTCCCAGGTTGTCACCCTCCCAAGCACTGACCACGCCCGATGTTACGTAACTTTGGTGATCAGACGAAAACTGGTGTTTACAGCTTGGTATGGCCACGTTGGCGAGAATTATATTAACGTCGCATTATAAAGCTGCACGAGGGTATTGGCAACAGACCTCAGTATTTTGAATCTTGGTCAAGAGATGAGAAGGACACCTGAGCTGGTGACCCCTCTCCAAACTATTCACACCATGCCAACGGGATGACATTGAGCCACAACAGATTTAACGGGCTTCAGTTCCTCTACACGGCTGTTCTTCAGAGGCACTAAGGCTCGAAATCATGACATGCCGGCCAAGCGCTCGTTACCATGACAACTAGGCTATCGAGGCCATTTAATTCTTCCTTGGGGATGGTTTTCCTGAACACAATTTTTCTCTGGATTGAAAAGGATAACAAGCATTTATTGTTCATTTTTTGTGCCTTAAATTTAAAACATCACATATTGCATAATATAATGACATAATTTCAAATTCCAATCTAGTACAATAGAATTGTTTTTCTTTAGTACTTGATTTCTTGAAGCGTTACTTGGATAAATTTGAGATTTCTGCTCTTTGAGATAACGAAACAATTATTGAACAACATTAGTCCTAATAATGCACTAAATTAAATAATTAATTTGTTTTATGAAAAAAAATCTAAATAAAATCAGCATTGTTAAGAGTTGGACGTCAAAGATTAAGGTATCCGACTACTCTAAATTGATTTTTTTCCCAAAAATTTACACACACACACACACACACACAATATATTTTTTTTATATATAATTTTATTTTATAGGCCATCTTATTAGCTTTATAAAAACACTAAGTTTTTTTATTTTTCATTCACTAGAACAAAAAGTACAAGTGTTTTAGTAAAAGCAGATGCCATAACTCTACACAAGATGTCAAACTTTAAAATGCGTTTTACTCGAAAATCTCAAACGGGGACAGCGATTGCTCAAAAATTTTTTTTAAATAATTTGCTGAAATTTTTTGTGTACCCTCTGTATAACAGTAGAAGTGTTTTCACCTTCAGATTATCAATCAATGTTTTCACAAAATTTACAGTCCTTTATATGAATATAATCTCTGTTTTTTTAAGCAATTTCATATAATAACTAAGATAAAGTGCTATAATTTTTGTAAAAATTGAAATATCTCTTATCCTGAAGGTCATTTCAAAAAGGAATAACGAAATAATGCATCAAAACTAAAAAATTGAGAATGTATTCATAAACTTTTTGTACAGAGTGGGGTCCGTTTATGTAATTTTTTGTAAATTTTTACCAATTTTTTCCCATTTTAGTAGCAATAATTTATTTTTCTCTTCTAAACTCTAATATTTTTTTCTTAAAATGTACTAAATAAATCTAAAAGCAACAAAAAAATCTTCATATCTCCATTTTTTTTTTAAAAAAAGTTGTCGCAAAAAGTCAGATACCTTAAGCCAAATGTTGTAAATATGGGGTTGGGTTCAATGAAGTCTGCTTTATGTAACAAATACTTATTAATTTAAGTTAGGTTTCACAAAAATAGCCCATATTGCTTACAAAAATAATGGGTGAACAACATGGACGTTTTTTCATTATGACCATATTCTCTCCTCACCTAGCCTCTACCGAAGATAAGAGGTCGCTAGAGGACGCTTCTGCTCTTTGGTAAAGTGAGTTACAGTTATAACAAGAGCGGTTACAATTTTATACAGTTTGAATTGATCTTGCCTACAATTTCAAAAATATACTTTTTATTTCAAATGCCAATTTATGGAAAATAACCAGGTTCTTAGGTTCATAATTATATATAAACCTTAAAATATCTGGTGTATAACGCGCACTTTTAACACTAAATATAGGATAGAAAGTTGCGGGTACGCGTTATACGCCGAGTATAAAAATGACAGTTTCAACAAAAAAAAACAGATAGTGTAAAAATAAAATTGGACTTCTACATAGATCAAAATACTGTTTATTTAATAGGAATGACACAACTAATGAACCTAAAAGATTGTAGTTCTAGAAGTATACTATTTTTTCAAAAACCTCGGATAATACCGCGAATAAATTTCGAAACCTAAGAGCGTTGCGCACGTACTTTTCGGGCTCTTTCGTAAAATAAGAGGTGCGCGTGATACGGCGAATATACCAAAAAATTAAAATATGCCGCTTGAAACCATAAGTGCGTGTTATACGCCGGATTTTACAGTAGGTTAATTTTAAAAAAAGAAGTACTCTCAGAGATTTCTGAAGACATTTTGCTATTGATTCCGGAACAAAAGACAACACACATCTAAAAAATAATGTTAATAAAACAAAATCACTAAGACAATAGTAAATGAGAGAAATAACTAATTTTTTTCTAAAATATATTTTTTCTTTTACATGTTTCATCTGCATACTAACGTTAGTTTTAACTAATTTATATAGTTCTGCTAATTCCCACAGTTATTTTCTTATATTTGGATATATATATATATTTTTTTTTTTAAAAAAAGACAAACTCCTAATAATAAGTTTTTATACATGTTGCCTTCTTTTACAGTTCGCCATGGCGAAACATCCGCACCATCATCATGTCCAAAACAAAGACTGTTACCGCTGCCCCCCAGGATACGGGGTGGAGCGCCACTGCAGCAGATTTCATGACACAGAGTGTGGGGCATGTGCCCCCGATCATTATTCCAGTCATTTATCGGCGTGGAGGCCCTGCTACCCATGCTCCCGATGTGGGACGGGTTTGTACGTGGCACATAAGTGCACGGCTGCTAGAGACACTGTTTGCGATTCCTGCCACACATACAGCGGCCCACACAACGAGGACTTCTACGAGAGGTGTGTCAAACCCTTGTTGGAGAGCGCAGCTAACAGCACCAACAGTGTTCATAGTCAGTCATCCCAGGTCAAAGGTTAGTGATGCTCATAGATCAATATGTGTCTTGTGTTATATAGGGTAAACCAAAAGTCTATTTGTATTCATTGAGTTCAAACTATTACAATGATATGTTTGTTCAGCAATATTGTAAGAACTGTTATGAATTTTTTTATAAGACCATTTACCTCGGTAAATTTCAACATGTGTCCCCTTGGTAGTTCGGAGAATTTCTAAGGGATATTCCAGTTCCCACGCAAGTGTTAAGTTCAACAATTACTTCACTCACACTCACCTATTGGAACGCTGCCTGTTTCTTCAAAAGATCCATACCCCATAGTTTTATTGATTCTTCCCCTGGAGGTTTGCTTCTACAACAGCTTCGAAATTTATACTGAATATTAATGACCGATTTCGTTTAAAAAAACCAAAGTACACATTGTACTTTCTCTTGAATGGACGCTGTTGCAGCCGAAAATGATGACTTCCTTACAAATGTTTCCCCACTCTTGAAGGAGCACTTCCGCCATCTGTTGCGCGAAGAATCTACTAAAACTGAAGTAACCAGTGATACAGAAGTTACATTAAACGGTCATTTTGTAATAATTTTTTATAATCAGGGCAACACTTTTGTTTCACTCTGTAATATGAATCTAGATTATGAACGATTTTAAAGGGGTGATGTCGAGTTAAATTAGCAAATTGTAACTAATCCGATACACAGTTCTCATACAGTTAAAACTAAAGCCACATCATACTAAAAATGCTATCATGAATAACCACAATCCATTGAACACAGCAAGAGGTTTTCAAAGTAAAGAAACAATGATGTAATAATGTTTATACTGAATTGAAATGTCCGTTTTTCTTCGGTGTTTGTAAATCGACATCTCTTCATAACTCCCTGCGCTCTTATGTCTTATTGTGGCCGTTGTAGGCTTGTGGTCTTGGTCACAAGCAGCTGAAGACCAGCCCACCGTTTGATGCATATTAAGTCTGTCGTAGCTAAATATCTTCCCCTTGACGTGTTAAATTATCTGGAAAGGGTGCGCCAGAACTCTGGTGTCACCCCTGTCATTTGACTATGGATCAACATTACGAGGTCCGTCGCCAATAGCGCTTGTGTTGCTTTTCAGAGCAACATTAAGCACTTATTCCGTTCTTATTTCAACATACTGTCAATTTTTAAGTTGGTAAACGACAAGTGGTGCAACGGAGAATATTAGGGCCCTCCTGCAAAGTCATGTTTTGCCTTTAATATTTTATAAATTGGTTAAATACGTACTTTGCGTTAGTCAGGGCTTGGGCCCCCTAGAACCTTGCCCCCTTCCCCGCGATACGGGGATGTATGTTACGCCACTGTAATCGACGTCTCACTAACTACACAACATTTAGAAAAAGAAAAACAAAAAGGAAATTTTTTCCAGCTTAAATAGCTTCACGTTAAAGTTATTGTTTGGATCATTGCCAATTTTTGCAGGTTAATGTGAAAAAGAGAAGTAGCTGAGCAAAACAAAACATTCATTTTCTGGACGTTTTTTCTATACAGATGAAATAAATTCTCACCTAAACACTTCCTAAAATCTCGAAACAAATGCTTCAAGTACAAAAAATAATAAGAAGAATGTGTAGTTATAAATAATAATTTAGATTCACATCTCCAGTTGGATAAAAAGGCAGATCGCACCTTTTTGAGTACTATACAGGCGTTTTCCCTTGAAATATCAGTCATAATCGCTGAGGGTGATTCCAAAATGAGATATCACAGTCGAAATCTCCAAAGCCTATCTGCTTGATCGGTTCGTTAAGCATCTGCCAGATTCCAATCTACTAAACCGTAACCGTTACACCTTGGAGGATAATGTGGCACGTTCCTTTAATTGCCTCCATCCTGTTTTTCTAATCTGCATACGCTTTCCCACAAACAACCTCTTTATTATTCCGTTCGCACAGGATTATTTGTGTGAACGAACCATGAGTTCAAAAAACCGCGCGGAATCTCGCTTTGGTCGCTAAGTTCTTCCCCGAGTCGTGGCAATTTGTTCCTCTGACTAGGTTAGTTGGTGACAGATGGATGTTTGCAGACGAAATCAATGACTCTTTCCTTATGCTTTGAAGCATAGGCGTACATAAAGACCCCCTTCCATAGACCAACAGATTTTTACCATAGAGGTTTCCCCTCAATGCTTTCGCCTACGTGTTTT